TCAAAGGGGCCTGGATGCAGCCCTGCCCTCCAGGGGCCCAGACTGGTGGGTGGTCTGGGTGGCAGTGGGTAGACGCCCCTTCTGCAGCTCGGAATTGTTCCCCCTTGGCCCCCTGGGGGGCACAGGCATGAGGATGGACTTCATGGTGGCCTCTCTTTGTCTGCCTCCAAGCAGTACAGTCCTGGGGCTTGTGTGGTCTGAGATAACCCCCCCCCCAAAACCCCATCCAGGGTGGGAGGAGAGGGCTCCACCCTTCCTGATGTCACCAGGACTGGGACAGCATCCTGCTGGGGGAAGGGGCAAGTGACCGTGATCCTGGAAGGCGGGAACAGCACCTCCCACACGGTGGGGGCACCGCTTCCTCAGCGCTGGAGCCCGGGCCTGGGTGGGATGGGCTCATGCACTCACTAGCTTACCCCTCCTTCCTTGGGGAGAAAATGGCAGCAACAGGATGGATTGGATGACTCTGAGTTCAGCGGGCACCCTGGGAAGGCCGGGGCTGCTACCTGGAAGGGAGAGACCCCAAGGCCCCCCCTGGGCAGGCTGGGGAGGGGGCGGCGGATGCTGAGGTCGGGGGCAGGCTGCTTCTGTGTGGGCCAGTGGCAGTGGTAGGGGTGCAGTGAGACCCCCAGCAAGAAAAGGGCCCTGGTCCCGCCGCAGGCACGGGGAGACAGGCCAGAAACCTGGGAAGCCCCCAGCCTGTCTTTCCCCCATCAGCCGCAAGGTCTGGGCCTTGGTGCCTGGACTCCCCTCCCTGTTGGCTCTGTGCCTGCACCTCCGGCCCCCTCCTGCCCCCTCCAGCTCTGGCAGCCGACAGTTACAGGGCCCTAGGGACTGGCCTGCCCTCCTGCAGGCCCCAACGCCCTTCCTAGTGGGGGACGGGCTCTCCTCTCCTCCCGGGTCCAGGGTGCCCGCTGAGACCTCAGACCCGTGTTCCAGCCCCCTTACCCAGCTGCTGGCTGCTCTCAGAGGCGGGAGCCTTCGGGGCAGCCCCTGCCCACTCCCCCGCCTCCCTGTCAATGTAGGGTGGGCGGGAGCCCCGGGGCCTTTGACGCGGGAGGGCGGGCAGCCCAGCAGGGATAAAGCCAGGCTGGGGTCCTGGCCACCGTGGGATCCTAGGACCTGGGATGCGGGTGAGTGTCTGAGGGCTCCCAGTGGGCTCAGCGGGCCCTGAGGTGTGGGGGGTGGGGTGTGGAAGGTGAGGCCGGCCGGAGGTCTGGGTGTAACCACCCCTGGGGCAGACCTCAAGAGAGCCCCAGGGCCTGGGGTCTCCAGACCTTCTGTCTCATGCTGGGAGCTCAGCCGGGAGCCTCTCCTTCCAGAGCTCAGGCTGAACCACATGGGACTGTACCCTCTCCTTTTAGGCTCTCCAATATTGTCATGGGCCCCCAGCCTCCCCAGGCGTGGTAGCCCTGGCCTCAGTGTGGCCAGGACTGCTGGCTGCACAGTCCCTTCTCGGCAGGCTGCACCGTCAGGAGGCAGGATGGGGTCACAGTAAAGAGTGGGGACCAGCTTGGCTCTTAGGCCCCCGAATAGTTATGGAGTCCCTCTGTGCCCAAGTCCTTTTTGTTAAATGAGGGTCGTGATGCAGTGACGGCACGACTGATCATGTGTTGTCACGTTTGGGAATGATACGAGGGAAGCCTCTGTGCGTGGGGCTGCTGCGGGTCACCCTGGCATCATGTGCTCTTGGAGGTGCTGTGAGCTGGAACCAGCCGCCACACATGGTTGGCATGACCATTGGTTGAGATGCTGCTCTGGTGTAGACTTTTGACCCTTACAGCTACCTGTGGAGCCATGTTAAGCCTCCTTGTACAAAACAATCAGTGGGGCTTCAGGGACGCAGACGGCCCACCCTCCGCCGAATAAACAGAGGAGCTTCCTATCTGTTTGACCCTAACAATCTTTAGGCTCCACCAAAAAGCGGGTTCTCTAAAAGCAGTTAATCGCCACTACTACATTTACTGTTATTAATAATCTGACAGCTGAGATTGTCATCTGCTGTTAGCCTGGGTTTTGATAACCCCCGAGGGGTTTGGAAGTATGTGTGGCTTTCTCGATTGGTCATAACTGTGTGCAAAGCAAGAGTCGCAGGGCCCTGCTCAAGGCCGGCGCCCCCGCCCACCCATGATGGTGGCAATTACAGCTTTTGGGTCTTCGGTGGGCTGTGGCCTGCCCAGGCAGTGCTGGTGGCTGACAGCGTGACAGGCTGGCCCCGGCAGGCAGGCCACATAGGCTAGCAAGTCAGCACCATGCCCCGCTAAAGCCACGTATGTGGTGAGGGCAGACCCGTGCAGCGCTGAGGGTCAGCGGCTGAGCGCCGGGGCGTGTCTTCTCCATCTCGACATCCCGGTGGTGGAACAGGTGCCTGCCCGGGGGAAACCAACGCCTGCTCCCAACAGCTCTGCTTCCAGCTCACAGCCGGGCACCCTGTGACCGGCTTGGAAAGTGGCTTCCCTCCCTGGCAGCGTCTCCATTTATAGAGAAGGCCCCAGGCCCCAGAGAGGGTAAGCGCTGGCTGTGAATCACACAGGAAATCAGGGCAGCTGGTCAAGCACCGATGATGCAGTTCTAGCCCTCAGGAGCACGCCTCTCCCCCGCTGGCTGGCTCCTCCAGGAAGCCTCCCCTGACTGTCTGATCCCCCAACTCTGCCTTCTGTAGGGCATGCTGTGCCGGCTGATTCCGCTCAGAAGCTCTCCTCCTGCTGGTCCCCACCCCAGCAGTGGGCACTTAGGAGGCAGTAGGGCGAGGGGCTGGTAATTCGGGAGCTGCCCGAAGGCAGAAGGTGCTGCCAAGGAGTAGTGAGCAAGCTGGGGTGTGACAGCCAGGGATTAGATGGTGTAGGTGACCTTTGAGGTTCCTCTGGACCTCAGGGGCTGAGATCCCGTGATGGGCTCTGGACAGTTCCCAGATCTGGACCTCTGCCCAGAACGTTGGGTCATTTGTTCCTTCCACAAACAAGTGGGGGGCCAGCCTGGTGCCAGGCCGTGTGTGGGAGGCAGGGTGGGATTGACAGCCTCTGTGTCGCTCCTTTGGGACATGCCTTCTCTGGGGCTGGGCCACTTTCCCTTCTAAAGGGCAGGTGGCTGAAGAGAGGGGACAGGGCAGGGATGGGGGAAGGGGGGGGGCTGGACGCTCGTGCTGCCGGGTGCAGGGGTGGCAGGACTCTGGGAGGGTTTCCAGGGGGCTGGGTGAGGGCTTGGCTTGCTTGGGTCTCCCCTCCCGGCAATGTGTGGGCTTGGGCTGGCTCTGGGAGGATTCCAGGAACGGCTCCTGCCCCGATAAAAATAGACTTCTCTGAAGGGCTTGGCACTGTGCCAGCTGCAGCAGGTGCCCCCCGCCCCCCCGCTAGTACCCCAGGTGAGGAGGGACAGGAGGGCTGGAGCCCAGGTTTGCAGCCTGAGCAGCAGGGTGGGCTCTGTCCGGAGTGCAGGCCTCACTGAGCTTGATGGAGCCTTTCACCTGGACGGATGAGGACCAGCTGGGTGGTGGGAGCGGCCTGCCCCGGAGGCCCCCGTCTCCCCGAGGGCCAGAACCAGGGTGAGCAGGGTCTCTGCACGTCAGCAAAACTCAACCCTAACCGTGGTTCCCCTGCTTCCTGGCTGTGTGATGGGGTCAAGTCCCTGAACCTCTCTGAGCTGCCGTTTTATCCATCAAGGTGGCTGACGTGTCTTGTTCGTGATATGCAGTGTCTGGCACCGCGTCCGAGGACACAGAGCCTCAGTAAGCAGTAGGCGGGAGGTTGGAGGGTACTGAGTGCCCAGAGCTCTCTTTCAGGGAGATGCTGCTGGAATTGGGGAGCAAGAGCCCTGGAGTGGGAGTGCTCGTGGCAGCCGAGGCCACCTTGGTGCTGGGTGATGACGCGAGGGCAGGAGCCCCTGCCTGGGAGCTTTCGCCATCACTTCCTTGAGCAGGCAGGCCACCTGGTTTGGCTGGGGGAGTGTCTGTGGGTGGGGTTCCTTCGGGGTCCTTCCACCCTGCACAGCTGTCCGGTCCTTCCCTCCCCTGCCTGCTCACCCAGCTCGAGGGCAGAAGGACCAGCCGGTCACAGGCATTGCTCTCTGGGTGTGTGTGTGTGGGAGAGCCCGGGAGACGGCCGTCTTCTCCGCTGGGCCCCACGCCAGCTCCCCTGGCAGCCCCTGGGGTGCTGACCGCAGATTGCAGGGGTCAGGCTGGCTGTCTGGGAGCTGGGCTCAGAGCAGGGTTCCCAGCAAGGAGAGGCCTCCAGGGACCCCGTATGCTGGGGGTCTTCCCACCCTGCTCCCCCACTTCCGAAGGCCTCCGGGCTGGTAGGGCAGGTGTCAGTTCACTGGTGGGGCTCAGTCAGAGGCTCCCTGGTGTTCCCGACATGGTGCTCCATGGAGGCAACGCCAGCGCCTTGGGGAGGGTTTTGCCTGGGAACGTCCTGGAGCCTTCCTCCCCGGGCTGCGCCCTGGAGGATGAGCGGATGTGGAGACAGCGCCCCGGGTGAATCCCGCCGTCCCGTGGGACCCTGTGTGGGCTCGCTTTCCTCACCTGCACGCTGGGGGTGGGGGTGGGGGCTGACGGCTCCCTCCCCGGGTGCCCTGAGGGTTCAGGGAGGGGCAGCAGTGTCCGGCACACAGTAGGTGCTGAGGAAGTGGAGGGTCCTCAGCCTGAGGCCGGAGTCTGTGCAGGCTGACGTCAGAGCCGGGCAAGGCCGGTGACCGTCACCCTGGGGGTGTCGGCGTCGGAAACCCACCCGGGCCACGGGCACCTCCCTTTCCATGTTCAGCGCGGGGAGCGCTCGGTCCAGGCCGCGACCTGCGCTCGGGTTCCACTGGGAGCGCGCTTCTCCCCCTGCAGCCCCCTTGCTGCGGGGCGCCTTCCTGTGCTACGGGGCCACGGGGAGCCCCCGAGGGCTGCAGGGCGGCGCGCGCACGGGCGCGGGGAGGCGGCGCGTCGGCCCCCAGGGGCCCCGCCCCGCGGCGGCCAGGGCCCTCCCCTCGCATCGCCCCTTCCTCCGCGGCGCTTCCTCCGCGCCCGGCCCTCCACCGCCCCTTTGTTTGCCGGGCGCGGCGGGCCCGCGGTTATATTTAGGCAGCAGGTGTGGGAGCCACAACAAGCCGGGTCGCCTGCCGGTCACCGGCCACCCCGCCCACGTGATGCCCGGGCGCTATAAATAGCTCTCGGCCGCGGGGCCGGCAGAGCGTCCGCGGGCCGCCGGCGCCGCGCACTCGGGGTCCCCCAGCCTCGCTCCGGTCTGGCCCCGCGCGGATGGAGGCGGCGGCGGGACGACGGCGCGCGCGGGTGAGCGGGTCGCCGCGGGGTGGGCGGGGGGCGTGCCGGGAGGACCCCAGCCCCGCCCCGGGGAGGCGGCCGCACCCCTTGGAGTCCGCCGACGCGCGTCCCAGGCGCCCCCATCTCGGGACAAGGCGGCCCCCACCTGAGCCCCCTCGGGCCAACCCTGCTCGCTGCGCTCCCGTGACCGCGCCTTGGCTCTCCCGGGACCCCCACGGAGCCCTCGTCCTCCAGCCTTCCCCCGTTCATGCCGAGCTCGGAAACCCTCCGGATTCAAACTCTTGCTGGTTCCTTAGCCATCCGCGACCAGGGATGAGGGCGGCAGCCTCCCTGAACCTCAGTGTCCTCCTCCGTAAACTGGGCTTGAGCCCGAGGAACCCCGCCGGGAGCGCTTCCCTGGCCTGCTCAGGGCCCGGAGAAGGTCCGCTAGCTCTTCCTGGTCTGTTCGCTCCTCTGCAGCCCGGGCGGTGAGGAGGCCTTCCCTACGGGGTCTCTAAAGGATGGTGGTTTTGGACATGCAGACAGCTCGGTGCCCACGGGTGGGTGGAGGCCAGCTGGGGTCCTAGGAGCGGGGATGGGGAGCAGTGGCAGGAAAGCCAGAGGGAAGGGCATGGGGCTCCTGTGGCAAGCGGGGTGCGCATGGGGGTGGGGCTGGTGGACTTGGGTCAGCCTTGCCTGAGGACCCTGCTCAGGGACCTCACTGAGGCCGTGTGGCGAGGAGGGAGGCCCCTTCCTGGGGACAGCCAGGCCTGGTTGAGTCACGTGGGTGCCCCAGGAAGTGTGGGAATCACTGTTGGCTCCCACCTGGGGCTGGGAGACCCAGACTCTGCAGAGACAGTGGGGTGTGTGGCAAGACCCCAGCCTGGGCCGTGACCTTGGTCCAACCTTGGCCCAGGCCCCTGACCCGATTCTGAGGCCAGCCATTCTAACCCTTGACCCCACCGACAAATGGCAACTTCAGGCTCAGGTGGGCAGTGGTGTGGGGTGGCTCTGGGTCCCCGCCTGCCCCGCAACCCTGTGCCCTGAGGACCTGCCCAGGGATACTGGGCAGCAGAGCCATGCCATCTGCTGCTGCCCACAGGGTCTCCCCAGGTGCTCAGTGGCTGTGGGTGGCGAGGTGACGGTGAGCCCCTCAAGGGGAGGCCTGGTGTCCTGTGGCTTCCTTGGGCCTTCTTTTCTGCTTTCTTTCTGGTAAACACACACACACACACACACACACACACACACACACACACACACACACGTGCGCACGGGGACACCCTGCTGTCCCAGGAGGCAGAGGTGTTTGTGTGCTGGCTGGCGGGTGCCCAAAGCTGCCTTTCCCCACCTGGGCTCCCAGCAGAAGCTGGCTTTCGGACGGCAGGTTGGGCAGCCGAACCAGGACAGGTTTCCTTCTCTCTGCCTTTTTCCACCTCCTGGGGACCCGCACCCCCATTTAACCCTCCTGGGACCGTGGCAAGGGGCAGGGTGTGAGATGTGGCACCTGCCCTAAGCCCAGGAGTGGCGGTGGAGCTGGCCCCTCGGCGCCTGGGGTCCCAGGCCTTGGGCCCTTCCTGCATCCAGGCTGAGGCTCCAGGGGCCCAGCCTGCCCGGTGGGCAGCTGGACAAGGGGGTGCAGGGGTGGGGGCGTGGAGAACCTTGCCCGGCGAGCAGATGGGAGTGCTGGTCGCGGGGCTTGTGTCTAGTCCAGTGGCTGGAGGGGTCTGCTGACCACTGGGTCATGCTGGAGGGACCTTGGGGGCATCTTGTTTGGCCCCTCATTGTGTAGATGGGGAAACTGAGGCCAGGGATGTACCCAAGGGAGTGAGGCTGGTGCTGCTGCTGGGCCCTGGCCTGGGACCTTGGGGCCCAGAGAGGGGGAGACAGGTGTGGAGGAGCTTACGGCTGCCTCGGTGGCCCAGCAGCGTCACTCCCAGGGCCCTGTCACAGAGTGACCCCGCTCCTGGCCACCTGCGCTGGCACTACCTTGGCATGCGCCTGGCGGCTGGCCCTTTGGCTGTTGTGGTCTGTCCTGGTCCTCTGAGCTCCCGGAGGGCAGAGCCTAGCATGTTTACCCTCGTACTTGGCGAGCCCTGTGGGCGAAAGGTAGAGACAATATGCCAGGGTGGCGCTGACCGGAGCCAGAGGTTCCCACGGGGCTCCTGAGAGACGTTCATGGGGGTTCAAGGCTGTGAGTGGGGCCTTCCTCCACTTACCCGCTGCACCCAGCACCTCGGCCTCCATGCCTGAACCCCTGTCCCTGAGGACGGGCCGCCCCAGAGTCACCTGGGCTCAGAGTTCCACAGACAGGGGGACTATCCTGGGGTGTAGGTGGGGTGTCTCCTTATCCCAGGAGGGGGGCCAGACTCAGGATGCTAGGCCTCTGTCACCACAGACCGCCTGGACATCCATGTGTTGGGGCTCCCTCTACCTTAGGATGTGTGTGTGTGTGAGACCCTAAAATCCCTCCTTCCCTTTGTCCCTCTCCACTCCGTCCTGGGGGCTGTTCAGTCACCTCAGAGCCCTGGGTCAGCCCTTGAAGGAGCTGTCCTTCCTTGTGCTCCCACATGGGAAAACTGAGGCCCAAGGAGGGCACTCCCTCGGCCCACTACTGCAGCAGGGCCCCGGGACAGGCATCCCCGTGATGGTGGGGTTCAGGCAGGCTGAAAGCCCTTGCAGAAGGCAGGGCCTCCCTGTGAGTGCTATTCTGTTCATTTCCTTCTCTCCTCCGCCCCCAGACGTTGCCTGCCGCTGACTGGCCTGGGATTCATGGAGAGGGCCTGGAGAGGCAGCTCTGAGTGCTGCCGTGCCCAGCATCGCCACCGCGCCTGCCGCCCGGCCTGCTGCTGAGGAGGGCCCCGCACCTCTGGCCTTCACCATTGCCCTCACCTGCCAATGGCCTCCACCGCCCCGCCGGGGGCTGCCTGAGCCCCCTGCGTCCTACCAGGACTCGCCGTACCCCGATGGGGTAACGTGACAGGGGCCCGTGCTTCAGAGTTGCCTGCCTGCCCGCCACGGCCGCCGCCTGTGACCCCCACTCCAAGGCGGCCCTGTTGGTTCAGTTCAAGTTCGGTGTTTTTTTTTGTTTTGTTTTGTTTTGTTTTGTTTTTGGTCTTTGGGGCCTGCCATTGAGTGAAGGGGGCCATCTGCCCAGCCCCCAAAGTAGAGAGGGCGTCCCCAGTGACAGAACAGTGCTGACAGTGCCAGACGCGGCCACGACGGCCAGATTTACTTTGGGCTTTTTAAGATTTTCTTTGCTGAGTTTTTTGGTTGTTATTTTTGTTTTCGACCCCTTATAATTATTTGTCTCTGAGAGGCAGGAACCTGGACGGGCCTGTTTGACTTCTGGGGGGCTGTGTCTTCCTTTTGTTTTTCAGAGTTGGGTTTTCTCTTTTAACTCTCCACGCGCCAGTCAGCGTCCTCCCCCTTCCCAACTATTTGCACAATATTTGTGCGGGGTGTGGGGGGCAGGTTTTTTAAAACATTTCCTCTCTTGGACAAGCACAGGGATCCCGTTCTCCCATCGGGGGGGTTGGGGGGCTCTTCCCATCCGTGTCTCCAGTCCCGTCGTGGGGAGAGCCATGGCACGCATGAACCGGCCGGCCCCCGTGGAGGTCAGCTACAAGAACATGCGCTTCCTCATCACGCACAACCCCACCAACGCCACCCTTAGCACCTTCATCCAGGTGAGTGGGCTGGAAGGTAGCCAGCAAACCAGGCCACACCGCCCTCAGCCTCCCGAGAGAGATCTGTAGCTCTCAACCCAAGTTCTGCACTCGTGGGCGAAAATGTCGCCCTGGTGACAGGAGCCCCGAAGAGGGGACAGGAGAGTGACCTGGGGAGCTCGGGGGTGAGGGCTGCTGGGGGATCAGCCGGGGTCCCTGGGTGCCAACAGGTGGGCAGGTGGACTCCTCATTGCGTGAACAGAGGCTGGTTCAGAGCTAGGAGGAGCAGTGGGCATTGGTCTGAGTCCTTTGCTGGCTGCTTGGCCTCTGCAGAGGCTGAGCAGAAAGGAAGGGGAGGAACCCCTAGGTGAGGAACGGCGGCTGAAACAGCCTGAAACAGGCTGGAGGCAGGTGGGGAGCTGGCATGGAGGCCAGCACCATGGCCAGTTCCACATCCAGCTCCCCCCTGCGGGAAGCCCAAGGACCCTGGGGGCGACCACTGGTTAGAATAGGCTTCAGGGTGCAGATGTCTGTAGGAGGAGGGGCTCGGCGAGGGTCTGAGCTGGCCACAGGAGAGGGTGACCACTGTACCCTGGAGAGTCAGCGGGCAGATGCGTGCTGCTCGTAGCCCCAGCGGATGTGACCAGATATGTCCGCAGAGCCTGCAGCTCCCCTCACGGCCTGGTAGGATGCTGTTTGCAGAGCCTGTGGCTGTGTCTAGGGACGTTTGTGGCCTCAGTTCCTCAGCCCCTTCTCTTTACAACATGACATAAGCCCCTGTGGGTGCTTGTCATAATTAAACAGGGACCCGGGCATGAGAGGACCTTGAAAACTGCATAGAGGGCGGCAGCGGGGCCTCTGCCCTCAGGAGGCCTGGACCCTGGACACTAAGCCAGGTGTTCTGCAGAAGAGGGCTTGTCCCCCTCACAGCTGAGACCCTTGAGGTAATAGTAGGATTTGGGAGGAGACTGAGCGCAGCGCTCAGCCTGTGACCAGGGTCAGGGCTCAGACTTGGGTTGGGTGGCAGCACCCCCTGCTGAAGGCACAGCGGGATCTTGGCGTCCCCCCAGTCTCAGAGCCCCGCGCCTGAATTCTCAGAGAAGCTCTGTTCTGCCCTCACTGTGTGCGGTGTCCCTGTCACATGACAAGCCAGGTCCAGCGGCCGATTCCTCACCACCCCCAAAATAGCTGCTGGGAGCAGGTGGGGGTGGGAGCAGCCCCCGCACGTGGCTGGTGGAGGGGACCCCCCAGCCCCCTCCACGATGGGTATAAATATCCTGGGCCTGGCTGTGAACTACCCTGACCTTTCCCTGGTAGCCTGGGGCTTCCCTGCTGGTGTGCAGGGCCTGGCTCCTTCCGCTGCCACCTCAGCGTGTGCCTGCTCTCCTCCCTCGGAGGTGCCGCTGCCCACGGAGACCTGCCCCTCCCAGGCTGAAGGCCGCAGCGTGGGGTCTGGACATGCCCCTTGGCTGGAAGGGCTGCTCAGAGCGGGGGTCACGCCGGGCCCACGTGTGGGCTGGCGGTGTCCTGTCTCTGCCTGGGGACCCAGGAGCTTTGTCTGAAAAATGGGGTCTTCCCGGGTGCTGAGCGCCCAAGAGGAGGGAGGCGATGTGCTGGGTGGGCCAAGGCACAGCGGCCGCAGAAGCGTCAGGAAAGTGATGGAGCCCAGAAGTCCGCCATGGCGGTTCCCGCTCTGCGTTGCCCTTCCTGTCTTACTGAGTGGGGCACAGCCCTGCCGTGGGGACCCTGGTCAGGGGGTCCCCACTCCTGAGCCCTGCAGCCCCAGTCCAGTCCCGCCTTCTCCCTCCCTGCCAGGACCTGAAGAAGTACGGGGCCACCACTGTGGTGCGAGTGTGTGACGTGACCTACGACAAGGCCCCGCTGGAGAAGGATGGCATCACCGTTGTGGTGAGGGCTGCGTGGTGCCGCTGCCGCGGGGACGGGGGCTCTTGGCCTGAGAGCGTTGTGAGGCGGGCACGTGTGGCCATGTCTGTGCTGCGGTCTCGTGTGTGTTTGGACATACCTTGAGGAGGCCAGGCATTGGGCTGTGGTACCTGGAGGGTGTCACCTCCCTGGACAGCGTCCTTCCACCTCTAGAGCAGTGTGCTTGTCCCAGGAGCTGGGACCACATGCTGTGCTCACTGGCACAGCCCCGGCTCACGCAGCCAGGCCCTCCCGTGTGCCAGGGCTGGCAGACACCACAGCTTCTCGGCCTCAGGACAGTCTCCCCGTATAGCTCTGTTGTGGGGAAACCGAGGCTGGGCTCATTGGCTCTCTGAGGCCACAGCCAGACTGCGGCAGACCTGGGACTGCCCAGCGAGTGGCATTTTAGTAATAATACCCCCTCCAGGGGTGCTCCCCCATCAGGGGCTGGGGCTCTGACCCCAACAGCCCTGCCAGGTGGGGACGTGGCCTTGCTGTGCAGGTGGCTTGAGCCTCAGTGGCCACCCAAGGTCTGCGCGTGAGTGCGGAGCCGAGCAGGGACCCGGGTGGCTCCTGGCGGCTCCTCTGTGTCTGGGTCTGTCTGAGAGGCCCCATCTCAGTCCCTTGCTGCCTGTGTCTGGGGCCCCGTCGCTGGGCAGCAGGTGTTGCCGAGAGCGTGGGGCTGGTGCACCTGGCGGGTCCCTGGGGAGGCTGTCTGTGGAGGCTGCGGGGAGGAACGCTCGGGGCTGTTTCCTTGGCCCCTGGCCCTGGGGACCTGTGTCCAGCTGTGCTGCCGTGTCCCTGTTGGAGGGTCTCGTGGGGCTTCCCTAGCGCAGGGCTGCCAGACTCCGGCTGGAGGCACGAAGGGTGCCCAGTCATCCCCACCCCGCTCGGCATCAGAGGAACCCTTAGTTACTCCTCTTCATGCGAGGACCCTGTCATTGGCAGGTGTCACTGTTCAGAACCTCTGCTCGGCCGTGTGGAGTGGCCGGAGCGGGAGCTTTGGACTCAGACAGGCCTGGCCCGAACCCCACCTGTGGCCTCAGGTCCTCACCTGAAAAGCGTGGGCGGTTGGAAGGACTTGAGATAACAGCGTGTCTGGCGCCACTTAGCACAGGGAGGCGGTGGCTTCTCTTCTGCCACTGCAGCAGGACGGATCTGGGTTAGATGTGAGGCAGCCAGGCCGACGGGGCTCAGCCAGGCGCTGCTGTATCTGGAGACGGGGGATGGGAGTAGATGACCCTGGTCGGCCAGAGTAGATTCACCCCTGGGGCCAATGGCACGAATCCTGGAGCAGTCCCCTCTGCCCGCATGAAGCTGCTTCACCGGGACTTAAGTGTCTCTGTCCTCACGCAGCGCCCTGGGCTGGGCCCTTCTCCGAGGGCTCACCTCACCCCTCCCAGGGCGCTGGGTGTGTTGGTGGGGGGGGCGGTGGGCAGCACGGATGATTTTCAAAACCAAATTAACCACTGGGAACTTCTGGAAAGGTCCCAGCTGTAACTGACTGCTACAGAATGATGGGCCTCGCCCTGTAGCACTTCCTCCACGTCTTCCCTGTCACCGGGCCAGGCCGTGCTGAGGGCTGGGGACACAGATTACGTCCATGGACCAGACCCCTAGAGCCTGCTGACCCAGAACCTCTCAGGTGGAGGGGGGCCAGTCAGTGATCCCAGAGTCACAGCAGGCTGACGGGGAGTAAGGCTCCCCAAAGGAAGGACAGCGTATTCCGGGAAGGCTTCCTGGAGAAGGGACAGCTGAGGTGAGCAGGAGAGGATGACAGGCAGCCCGGCCGTCACGTGCCCAGCCAACTTTCTGCCCTGGTGCCCGCTACCCCTCACCCTCGTGGGCTCTTGGCATCCTCTGTGCTTCTCAGAGTGCCCTGACCTTGTGGGAGCCCAGGCTGGCCTGGGCCCTGCCTGTCCACCCACCTTCAGCACGGGGGTCCTCACCGTCCGCTTCCCTCTGCAGGACTGGCCATTTGACGATGGGGCGCCCCCACCTGGCAAGGTCGTGGAGGACTGGCTGAGTCTGCTGAAGGCCAAGTTCTGCGATGACCCCGGCAGCTGCGTGGCTGTGCACTGCGTGGCGGGCCTGGGACGGTGAGTCGGTGGGGCAGGGCGGGGTTTGCTGGAACTTGGGGTTCTTGTGGACTGACTTGCTCGCGGAGGTGGGTGCTGAACCCACATCACACATGACCTCCTTCCAGCGAGTTCCCGGACATGGGCCTCCACAGCCTCGCAGGGAGGAAGTCCTTCCTGAGGTCTGACCCTACTCCCTCCGGCTATGGTTGCAACTTTGTCCCTACACTTGAGCAGGAAGTAGCTAGCTGCCAGCCCCGACCGTCCCAGACACCAAGACCCCATCCCCACCAAACAGCCCAGGTTTCACTAAAACAACCCAGGTTTGCAGAGAGAAAACCGGCCAGGTGGGGTTGATAGCCCAGTATCAAGCTCTTATCCAGGGCCAGACCTGAGCCAAGTAGAGAGGTTGCCTGGTGCACCCGAGGTCACACAGCAAGGCTAGGAGGGAACCAGACTTGGACCCAGGTGGTCGGGCTGAGCTCTGAGCCTGCAGCCTCCACAGGGGAGGGAAGGGCCCTGGGGGGCTCTGAGTGGCCCTGTGGTGACGGGTGAAGGCATAGGCCCTGCGTCTTTAACAGGTGGCCTGTCGGGAGGGGTGGGGGTGCAGAGGCTCGGATGACCCTGCTGTCTGTCCCCAGGGCTCCGGTCCTCGTGGCACTGGCCCTCATCGAGAGCGGAATGAAATATGAAGACGCCATTCAGTTCATCCGACAGTGAGTGGCCGGCTGGTGGGGGGTGGGGTGGGGGCAGGGCAGTGGGCGGTTGATGAGCTCTTGGGGGTCTGGGTTTAAGAGGGCTGGCCACCCTGCAGCGGCCTGGCACCCTGTCAGCGGGCATTCCTGACCCTGGGCCTTGGGGTGTCCTCTGAGGTGTCCCCCAATCGCATGCACCCTCCAGGCCATGAAGGCCCCCGGCTAGGCCGCCTGGTCCTGAGTGAGGACTGGTCCCCGTGTAGCCTGCTCCTGGGGCAGGCAGTGTAGTGAGGGAGGCTGTGGTTCTCTCAGCCTGAGGTCATGTGAGTCAGGACGGGCTGGGCTGTGCTGCCGTAATGAGCGGGCTCCCACCCTGCGACTGAAAACCACACAGGCGTGTCCCCGGTCATGTCACTGGCAGTGGCGGCAGCCCCACTGCCAGCTTTGCCAGAAAACCAGGGTGGAGCCAAGCTTTGCCTGGCAGACACGTGTGTCTCTTCTGCCCACATTTCAAGTGCGTGCCCACACCTGAGGTCTTGGGCAGGGAGGGATGCCCTCCAGCCGTGCTTGGTGGGCAGCCCTGGGTGCCCCCCTGCACAGCACCTGAGGCCCGCCCCCTCCTCACCGCCCTCCCTTCCTCCCAGGCCTCACCTCGGTGGTCCTCCAGCAGCCCATGGCCTCGGGGTGGGGTGGCACCCAGGTAAACATGGGGCCTTGGGAGGGTGGGGACCATGGGGGTAAGGAGATCAGGGAGTCAGCCTGGAGGAGGTGCTAGCCAGGTGAATTGAAGGCCATCAGGGGCGACAGCAGGTGACTGGGAAGGGTGACCCTGGCAATGCCAACAGCTCAGGCGAGGCAGGATGGGCTCTGGGGACCACGAGGACCAACCGCTCCAGCCCTGCTGGACTCCTGGGCCTCCAGCCTCCAACGGGCAGGTGACCAAGCCCGGGTCCCACCTGACCCCCACCCTGTCCCATCTCCCCAGGAAGCGACGTGGAGCCATCAACAGTAAACAGCTCACCTACCTGGAAAAATACCGGCCCAAACAGAGACTGCGGTTCAGAGACCCTCACGCGCACAAGACCAGATGCTGTGTCATGTAGCTCAGGACCTCAGCCGCCGGCCCGTGGGGCCCTCCCAGCAGGGGCCTCCAGGCCTCCGGGCCTCCATCTCGCCTTTCTCCCCAGCACAGTGCACCTGCCTCCAGGGGTCCAGCTCCTCTCGCGCGCCCTCTGCTGTCACTCTCTCCCTCCCTGTGTCTCCGTCTGCCCGCGTCTGCCTCTTTTTAGACTCATCCTTCCCTTTGTCCCCATGCCCCAGGTCTCTGTCACCGTGCCCTGTGTGTGTCTCTCTGAGGCTAGTTGGGGGCCCTGTCTCTGGCCTCCCTGCCATCACCCTGTCTGCACCACCCCCGGCAACTCTCCTGTCTGGCCCATTTGTTGAAGGGGGGCAGGTGTACTTTTTAACCACTGGGCCTGACCCCTCCTCTGTGGCCCCTCCTCCTGACCTGCTCTTGGCACCTTAAGTTGTGCCTGGGGGAAGTCAGATGTTCTGGACACTCGAAGGCAATAAAACAGAACTTGGGCTGTGTGTGCTCTAAGAGTGGGTGCAGGGCTTGGGATTGGGGCGGGGCCCAGGAGGCCGCTGCCCAGGACCCACTGGCTGCACTGGGGCTCCCCCTGCTGTCCGTGCTGGGTCCCTGCACCCCTGGTTTCAGGACAGGGCATGTCCTCATTCAGCAGGAGTAGGGCTCCGCCAGTTGCCATGTTGGTGTTTTGGGAGCTGGGACATTAGCAGGAGAAGTTGGGCCACCAGCACTGCGCCTCTGCAGGACCAGGGTGGGGTTCACGTGATAATTCCTTGGGGCCTTGTGTCCAGCGGGGCGGCCTCCTATCCTGCCCCCACCAGGTGTCCTTATCTCAGTCTTCGAGAAGCAGAGAAGGGAGTGGGTGATGGTGGCTGACTCAGCTCAGGTTGGGACACGCCATCCCATCAGTCCAGGGCGGGGACGGGAGGCCAGAGGGGCACAGGTGACCCGGGCACCTGAGTGTGAGTGGGTCTGAGTGTGTAGGAGGTGGCTCTGGCCTATCTGAGGGCACGGCTTGCCACACTCCATGCTCCTGTGTGTGGGTCTCGCAGAGCTGGGGGCCGGCCCACCCTGGGCAGAGGAAAGGGGGCCTGCAGGGCGGGGGCACAGTTGGGAGGAGGGCTGGCAGGGTGGGTGGGAGTGGAGAGACGGGGGCGGGGCGTTGGTCGGCCCCAGGGTCCCGTCGCCCAGGCACTGTCACTCACCGTTGGACACCACCCAGAGGTCTTTACTGACCCGTCTCCCAGTTGCTGGGACCCCCGGGCCCTGTGTCCAGGCCACCCCCCACCTGCATCTGCCTGCCGGCGGCCCCTCCTCCCATCCCACCTTACACCCACGCCCACACCCACTCTGGGATAGAGGCTCATCCAGCTGCTTTTCCCAGGAAGGGGGAGCCTCGTGCCTGGGGCACGCTTAAGGCATTCGCTGAGACTCATGTCCCCTGAGGCAGGCGTCCCCCACCCCCGGGGCCCATTCCGCTAGTACTTGAAGGATGGGCCCTGGGTGGCTTGGGTGGGCTGTGCCTTGCTAATGGCCCTGGGTGGATGGCCAGTGGGACACAGGCTGGGTCTCTGTCGCCGGCTTGGTGGCCGGCCTGGCAGTGAACTGTTACCACTGGGGCCCTTAATGGGGCAGGTCCCATGTGCCTGGCTCTGGAGCCCAGCCGCCCTGCTAGGTAGGACTTGACCCCTCCCTTCCCTCGCTCTAGCAGACTCAGCTTCTCTGAGAGTCTTGTCCAGTCACTGTCGGCTCCAGGAACCCATTGGGTCCAGGCCCACCCAGCTCCAAGCTTTGACTAAACCACACTTTCTGGAGAATGGACCGGAGGGCAGCTGACGGGTGAGACCGTGGAAGCTCCCCTTTAAGGGGAGAGGGCGTCCCCACCCAGACCACACCCACTAGGGTGGACCAAGGGGACCCTCCTCCCCAACCCCTTGGTCCTGAAGGAGCACACCCCTACCCCCAGCCAGGGGTTGGAGTAAAGGAGGATCGGTGGGCGCCCATGGAGGTCAGGGGACAAGATAGGGCCCGTGAAGGCACAGTCACCCCACAGCCCCTCCTCCTCTGGGCTCCCGGGTGGAGAAGGGGCTGCCAGCTCTACCAAGTGGCCATTTCCTCCGTCCCCCGACCACGTCTGAAAAAACAAGTAACTGTGCGTGGTCCATGAAGGTTGCTGTATTGTTCAACCCACCATCCTAGTGTGGGGCCTCCCCGGTGCCAGCCCCGATGGGCTCACGGTCTGTGGGGGTGGGGGTGGCCGGCTAGGAGGCCGTCTCGTGTAAGGGAGGGCGCGCCCAGCCTTAGGAAGGACTGAGGACGGGTGACACGTAGGCTGGTCCTTGAAGAACAGGGCGGTGTGGAGGTGGGTGAGGGTGGGGAGGGTCGGCAGGGACAGGAGTGGCCCGAGTGAAGCGTGGCGGGGTCAGTGTGGACGCTGGAGAGGAGGCGGGCGGGCAGGCTGGGCGGGAGGATGTGTTGGAGGACCGGCCGGCTGGGCTGGTCCCGAGAGAGACAGCTGGGGGCGAGGCCAGGGAAGGGCCCATGTGCCCATTTCACATACGGGAAAACCAGCGCTGAGGGGGGAAGGGCCGGCTGAAGGTCAGGGGGGTCTCCAGGTGGCGCCGGGGGGAACTGGGGACCCTGCCGGGAAGGGACCTTCTCTGGGCTCAGCCCTCCGAGGGGCCTTAGGAGGAAGGTCTCACTACCCATTCTGCAGCTGAGGCCGCACAGCTCATCGAGGTGGGTCAGGCCCCACTGGGAAGGTCTGATTCTGGGCCCAGGCTGGTTCTGCTGCCAACCCGGGTGCCAGCCCTGACTGGACTCAGGAGGACAGAGGTGAGGGTGGAGGGAGACCAGCTAAGCGACCCCTTGTCAGCTGCTCAGCGACTACAGAGCTCCGAGCTGGAGACTGTGGGGGTGACTTGGCGAATGGCTCCGTTCAACCATGCGCCCCAGGGCAAATGCTGCCCCTGCAGTGCCCTCTCAGTGCCCAGGACAGGGGCAGGCTGTGGCTTGGGCTCCGACCAATGCAGTCTACCTGACCTCCACCAGTGGAGGGTCTGTCATTTGCAGAGACTCATACAGATTTTACAGTTTGTCTCTGGGGGACCCGGCCTGCTCTGCCCCACATCGTGGGCCTGACCCTGTCCCCTAGTCCTGCCAGTGTCTCCTGGGCTGGCCTCGGTCCCCTGGGGGCCCACGGGAGCGTGAGCAGGGAGGCAACAGGTGTGAGGATTCTTTGTTGAATCTAGATCTTTCTTTCAAATGGAAACATGTTATGCAACCAAGCTCTGTGCAGACAGGGCAGGGCTGACCGAGCGGTGGGCACGGAGGAGGGTGGGGAGGATGGCTGGGGGTCACTGGGGTCTGGCTGCCACCTGCTGAAGGAAGCAGAACTGCTTGGTGGCGAATTCCCGGAGGCCAGGCTCCGGGTCTTTTTTGAGATCTTCGAAAGCTTCAGGAGAGAAGGGACCAGTCAGTCAGAGGTGACCCCACAGCCCGACCCAGGCAGGAGAGGGGGCATGCTCCCTGGGGTGGGGAGGGTCGCAGGACGGGCCCAGGCCCTACCTCCTCTGCCTTCCAGACCTGGGGGGCCTCCTGTCCCCACCCCACCCCCTCACGGCTCCTCACGCTTGGGAGCCTGACTATTGGAGCCTCAGGTGGAGTAAGTGAGGTCCCTCTCACAGGTGCCCAAAGTGTGTGGCAGGGTGTGGATGGTGGGGGGGGGCTGCTTACTGCAGAGCAGCAGCTTCCTGTCGGCGTCATTCAGCATCTGGGACACTGCCTGGGGGTGGTAGCAGATGGTGTAACCTGCATGACAGACGGAGAAGCATGCTGGCCAGAGGATGGGGGCCCTGTCTTCTTAGAGGGGCTCAGACCCACTTGCGCCCCTCCAAGGCCCCCTCACCCACCACCTTCTCTTGCCAGTGGGCCCTGAGCTCCAGGTGCAGTGGTGTGGCAGGTGTAGCAGGTGGACCAGGGCCTGGGAGGGTCAGGGTGCTCAGGCAGGGCAGGTCTGGGGGCTCCCCAAGCTCCGCCAGCCCCGGTCACCTATGAAGAGTGCTGCCCAGGTCCTGATGTGGTGATGGGGGCTGTGCAGGTGGCTGAGAGCCTGTGCCAAGTGGATGCTGAACTTCTCCTGGCTGTGGGTCATCTGGCAGGAGGACAGCGCACCTGTCACTCATCACTCGCTGGGGCCAGGGGGCTGGCCCTGGAGCGACCGCGGACCAGCTCCCCTGCCCTGCCTCCACTTCCCAGCTGCAGCCTAGTGTCCCCGGCCATGCCCCAGGCCCCTCACCAGGCAGGTCCAGAGGAAGTGGCGGGCACTGATGCTCCTCTCCCAGGCCAGCGAGCAGAAGAGGGTGTGCTGCAGCGGCCAATGGAGCAGCACCGCGCAGCGGTAGAAGGCGAACTTGGCCTGCTGCAGGTGCGGCAGGGGAGGGGTCTCTGAGCTGGAGGACCACCTGTGGGGCTGGTGCAGCCAACCCGGCGCCTTCCCACCGCGGACCCTCCTTTTGCCTGAGTCTCCTCCTCCGTCGCTCTCTAACCCACCCTCTGCTCCTCCTCATTGGCCCCTGGGGAAGCCCCGCCCCCTGGCTGCAGCACTGGGGGCTCAGGCTGAACTGAAGGCAGCCCTTTGGCTTGTTTTGGAACTGGCCGCTTAATGTCCATCTTCCTGATGGTGGGATCCCCCGGGAAGGCCAACCTGTGTCTTAGTGGTCTGGGAGTGGGTCACAGACTGGCACATAGTAGGGCTGGCACATAGCAGGGCTGGCACACAGTAGGGCTCAATCCACATTTCAACGGGTTTAATGAACAACCTGAGCCCCCACCATGTGCCGGGTGCTGGGGCCACAGCAGTGAGCAGAACAGACTAGGTTCTGCCCACACAGATGGCACAGCTGCACATGTGCACGCGTGCGTGTGTGCGTGCATGCGCACGGGAGGGCAGATGATTTTGTGCTTGTGTTTGTGGGTGCACACGCACATGGGGAGGCAGGCGGACCGTGGAGAGGGGAACCAATGCAGGAGCCGAACCCGCTGCCCTAGGGGATCCCACTGCTGAGGCAGCACTCCTGCCATCTGCAGACCCCCAGCCTCCTGACCCCGTGGCCCCCCGTGGGCCCCCCGCCAAGCGGGCACTGACCGTGATGACTGCCGGACAGCGGTCCTTCAGGTGCAGAAGCAGGGGCACCATGCTCTGGTACACCTGGGTTCGCAGGCTGCTTGGCTCCTTGCCTGCCATCGTTGCCACCAGGTCCCCAAACAGTGCCATGGCCGCTGCCCGGATCCTGTCGCGCTCCTGCAAGACAGGGGCTGGGAGCCACGGCCAAACCGGCCTGGGGGGTCCCCACCTCCACCTAATTTGGGACCCCGCACCCCATCGTGGGGATGGGGCTCAGTTCCTGCTGCAGGACCCCTTGACCCAGGCTCAGGGCTCCTCTCCAGACACAGCTCCCAGGCTTGGTCCCAGGCACCCTCGAGGACCTAAAATCATCTCTCTCTCACACTCACAATCACACCCTGACGACCCAAGTGTCACATGTGCAGTTGGGGGTGGGACTTGTCCCCTAATTTTCCAGGGAAGGGAAAACAGTCCTTGTAAACACTCAGACCCGTCAGGAAGGCGAGGACCCAGTGGGATTGGAGACTGAACGCCAGTGCTGATTCAGCCACGTGGAGAGGACCGTGTGACACCAGGCGCCCACTCACCCGCCCCGGCCCACCTGCGTGGCACACACCCAGGTGGCTCCCCTGGACCTCCATCTCCCACCCTAGTTGGAGGGTGGCTGGGGTCCTCTCTGCCTTTGAGGAAGGGGGCCCCAGGAGGGTCATGAGTAGGGGTTGCCCTGCCCCGGCCCGGGGCACACTCACGTCATCAAAGAAGGAGCGGGCGTTGATGGCGACGCTGAGGCACTGGACCCCCACACCACAGGCGCCCAGGCGGTGCAGCACGTCTGACACGGTGCCCATGATGAGCTCCACCACCGGCTCATTCTTCTGGAAGAAGCCGTTGAGGAGGCGTGGCAGCTGTCCGCGGAGCAGGCTTCCCTGGGGAGGGCGGGGGCAGTGGGATGAGGCCACCAAACACAGCCTTAGGTTCTTCCTGCACTGTCCCTCCCCAGGTCCCTGTCCTGGCCTGGGCGCCTGCACTGTCCCCGAATTCCTGCCCAGCATTGTTCCCCGACCCTGCTGGGGTCCCCACAACAGGGACTGTGCTCCAGCCCTTGTCTGCATACCAGGCGCTGAGTGCCCTGGACAGGGCTGTCGTCTCAGCCCCCTCAGGTCCTCCTGGGGTCAAGGCAGTATTAACCCCGTGCTCGTTGGCTCCCGAGTCCTTCCTTCTCCTGTCCCCATGACAGCCAGAGGACCCCTCACTAAGTCTGGAGACCATGTCTTTCTCCACCCACCCTGCCTTCACCCCCATTCCTGGCCTCCCCGTGGTTCAGACGGGACCTGGGGGGGCTGGATGAGACAGGGGGTGGTCAGCCGTCATATACTGGAGCCACTGGTTTCTCACATCACAGGGAGTTTGGTGCACCAGTGGCCATTTTCCATTTTTATACCACTTAAAAAACAAGAACACTGAATTCATTTTGGCCAATTCTGTCTGTTCCACTTGCTTGCAGTGCGTTCCTGGGATGTTTAGATGAACTGTGGGAAATCAGCGTGTCGGGATGTTTCCTGCCATCTTATCGGCGACTTATGTGCAAACCAGGGTGACTTTTTACAACTTTTAAACAAGCTACAGGCAACTTCCTCGGCTTCCTAAGCTCTGATTGGTTTTACAACCTTAAATTCGTTTTCAGCAAGTGAAATCATTTAACAACAACGACCACTTTCTGAGCATCTACTGGGCGCAGCCAGCAGTGGGACAGCGTGACAGAAGGGAATTCTAATGGGAAGAACCAGAAACTACACTGAACGCAAAACACGGTGTGTGTTCGAAGGGGACGAGTGATAGGAGGGACGATAAAGCAGCAGGGGCGGTGCGGGTGGAACAGGCCGGCGCAGAGGTGGCAGTGGTGGTTGTTATAAAACTGTAAGATCAGGAAAGATGTCACTGAGAAGGTGACAGCTGAGCAAGTTCTTGCAAAAAGGCGCTGGAAGAGCGTTGCTGCAGAGCGAGCCCTGCGGACAAAAGCCCTGGGTAGGAGCACACCTGCCATTTGTGGGCCATGGAGACTAGTCACTTCGTCACAGGAGCTCACTGGCTTGCGGTGGGGGTGGGAGGGGGATGCACTGAGGAGGAGAAAGGAACCAGGGAGGGGGCTGCAATGGTGGGAGGGCGGATGCTGGTGGCTTCAGTGGGGGCAGCTGTGAAGTGGGAGAAGGGGTTGGACGCTGGGCGTACTGTGGGATTTGACTGACTGGACACCCCAAG